ATTTGATGTTAGTCTAATTACTGATGTGGAGCTCTGACACCCGATAACTGTTAGCCCAGAGGCATAGGGGTGCATTTTCAGTGCTGTCATAGAGAAATTCAAATGTCACTTCCAAAATATCCACCAGATGTCGCTAGTCTTAATATAATGCTCACCCACAGGACAGCTGGCAAACTTTTTTTTTTTTGAGACAGAGTCTCACTCTGTGCCCAGGCTGGAGTGCAGTGGCATGATCTCATCTCACTGCAACCTCTGCCTCCCTGGTTTGAGTAATTCTCCCACCTCAGCCTCCAGAGTAGCTGGGGCTACAGGCATGGGACACCACGCCTGGCTAATTTTTTCATTTTTTATTTTGGTAGAGATGGGGTTTCACCATGTTGGCCAGGCTGGTCTTGAACTCCTGGCCTCAAGTGATCCTCCTGCCTCAGCCTCCCAAAGTGTTGGGATTACAGTGTGAGCCACCACACCTGGCCAGTGGCAGATAACTTTTGAAATGTGAATTTTAAAACTTCATGTGAAAAAAGAAAAAAAAAATCCATAACACAGGAATAGGTTAAAAAAATCATGTAGAATATTTTCACATATCTGCTTTGGTGTGGTTTATATTAAGCACTAGCATCTGGTGATTACTTTGGCGACATCCTACTCTAGTCTTTCACCATTCTGTCTTTTTCCCTTCTTCTGCCCACTCAGTCTGTCACATTCACCATGTATACTCTTTCCTCACATACTAGTTATTGGATTCTCAGTTTTACTAGTCTTCCTTTTACTATTCTTCCCTCCAGTCTTGTTTCTTGCCCCATGCGTTATGTTTATATTTATGTGTAACTGTCAGTTATTCAAGTTTTTGCTAAAATAATGAGACCTGGCATATAATGACTTATAAGAGGTGCTCAGAATCTATTTAATGGATGTTTAATGAAACAATGTATGAATGAATGAGAGGAAAATACAGGATACTAAAAATTATTTATATTTGGCTTGAGAATACAGTAAAAGTGGTAAAGAATCACATTCCTAAATTACCTATAATTAAGTGCTAAATGACGCAATATAGAACATGCTAGACTGTTTAGTGTTTCTTTTGGTTTTTTTTTGAGATGGAGTTTCGCTCTTGTTGCCCAGACTGGAGTGCAATGGTATGATCTCGGCTCACCACAACCTCCGCCTCCCAGGTTCAAGCGATTCTTCTGCCTCAGCCTCCAGAGTAGCTGGGATTACAGGCATGTGCCACCACGCTTGGCTAATTTTGTAGTTTTAGTAGAGATGGGGTTTCTCCATGTTGGTCAGGCTAGTCTCGGACTCCTGACCTCAGGTGATCCGCCTGCCTTCCCCCTTGGGTCTTCTAGAGTACTGGGATTATAGGTGTGAGCCACTGCTTCCGGACCTTTTTTTTTTTTTTTTTTTTTTTTTGAGGCAGTGTCTCACTCTTGGCCCAGGCTGAAGTGGAGTGGTGTGGTGCAGTCACGGCTCACTGCAGCCTCAACCTCCCGGGCTCAAGCGATCCTCCCATCTCAGCCTCCTGAGTAGCTGGGATTATGGGCACATACCACCATGAGTGACTAATTTTTGTATTTTTTTGTATTAATTTTGTTTTTTTTTTTGGTGCCATTGCATTCTAGCCTGAGCAGCAGAGTGAGATGATCTTGTCTCTCTCTCTTTCTCAAAAAAAAAAGACATTATTTCCTAGGGTTATTTAAAATATTTTTATTGACAATTGTAATTATTTGTTTATTCAAACTGCCTGTTTCTTTATAGTCATGAATTATTGTCCATAATAGTTGTGTTAAATTTTATATAGATTTGAATTTCACCCTGCTTATTTTTACACAGAGAGAAGTCACAGGCAATATTTTTACCAAATGACGGTTTTGTTTTAAGACTCAAAGTCTTACTTAGGCTAACATCTTACTCTGTTTATTAACAGAAGTGATTAATGTTTCCTCCACTGGCTCATTCATTCCTTCAAGTAAAAATTAATGTAATCTTGCATTCTTATGGAATGTAATGTTGCATTCTTCATGTGAAAGTATTGCATAGTGGTTAAGAACCTGGACTTTGGCTTCACCATTTAGTAGCTATTGGGTCTGTGACAAATTACTTCTCCAAACCTCTCTTTCTTTGTGTGTAAAAATCCTACCGTTTATGGTAATTGTGACAGTCAAATGAGCTAATACTAAGTGCTGAGTACAGGGTTTGGCACATAGTAAAAGCTCAATTTTGCTATTATTACTGTTATATATAGATATTTGGGTAGCGTTTAGTTTGTGGGGGAAGTGTCTGCCATTATTGCCAAAATAATGCAGGACTGAGGAAGCCACGTATAAGTTCAGAAATCAGGCAGTGTGGCAGAGATATACAGAAAGCAGTTTGCTGGGTTTCTTTGCCTCTGCTTCCAGGCAGAGTGAATGACCGCACTGCAGCAGCGGGAGTGGTTCCAGCTACCCAGACTGCTTGCAGTTTCCCCACATACAAACACTATGGGATGCCTGATCTTTGTCCCAGTTATTCCTAGTTCTTGTAGCTATCCGCATACTCTCCCAGCTCTTATGGGGATATTATAACACGGTGGGATCGGGAGGATGGAAGGAATAGTAGATGTTAGTGTTGTTTGGAGCGAAAGCTCAGTTCTTCACCTGAGCCACTTTGTAAGGCCAACTAAGATAACTGTCATGAACATCTCTTCTGAGCAAAAAAAAAAAAAATGGACATTATATTGTCTGACAGGACTTTTGTGCTTTTTCCAAATGTGAGAGGCAGGCTGTATGTAAAATAGTATGATTTTTGGAACATATCTTAATAGTCATATGGGGGACAATAGAATGAATATTTTGAGATTGTACTATTTAAATCAAAATTAAACGCCATTAAAATTTTAGTTCCACAGTTGCATTAGCTGTAGTTCAAGTGCTCAATAGCCACATGTGTGGCCACTATATTGTACAGCATAGATATAGAACATTTCCATCTTCACAGACAGTTCTGGTGAACACCATTGCTCTAGAATATGTGGTTCATATAGTTATGGACTTTTAGGGAATAGTGCAGTATTGGACCATATGCCTTATAATACATTTTTAAAAATCAATTCACTACAATTCTCTCTTAATTCCTCCAGCATGCTGTGATGGGCAGTGCAAAGAGCACAGGGCCAGACCTCAGAGCCCTCTGGTTCAGATCTTAGTTTCCATACTGACTTACTGAGTGACTGTGAGCACCTCTCCTAGCCTTGGTTCCTTCTTCTATGATGTAAGGGAGTTGGGCCAAGTAAGGAAGTGGGCCAAAATGTTTTGGAGCTTTAAAATTCAGTGATTTTGTAAGTCTTTTTCCAGAAATACTGAGCTCACAGATCCTACTTTGATCAAAGACTTGTTGTTTGAGAAACGCTGACCTCTGGCATAGATAACTGTCAGCAGGACCTCCCTCTGATGTCTCAATATTTTCTGCTCTGTGTATAAAGCATGAGGGGCTCTCAACCAGTCAGGATCCACCCAGGGATCCACCAACTAGGTACTTTGGTTTTGCATCATTATGCATGTAGATGTGTTGCATGCAAGTCTGTGCTGTTGGAAATTTCATGCTTCTCTTTATAAAGGAACTTGTTGAATTGACATGGGTTAGTGACTCTCTGGGGGTGTTACACCATGAAGTGTGGTAGTGCCAAAGGGAGTTCTTGGCAGTTAAATTCCTCAGCTAGATTATGAAGGACAGTGGTCTTCAGACTTGTGGGCTGCTCAGGTTTAGAACGATTTGGTGTCTTAGCTTTTCCTCAGCATTAGCCAGAATTGAACCCACTACATTCAACCAGCAGCTGCCACTCGACACCTGTGCTGGCCTTCTGCCCCCTGCCTGTTGTGGTCAGGGAGACGTGTTCTTTTTTAGAAACATTTTTGTGTTTAGCAGCTTTAGACATTCAGACAAGATATTGCTAGCCTGGCTGCTCTTGGTAAGGATTTTCTTTTTCTCTAAGGACCTGAAGAGGTTGTTAGGTTGAATAAGAGCCAATACTGACTTTTCTTGCTAAGGTACTAATCAGGGTTTGAGGAGGAATCTGGGCCTCCCAGAAAATCATGAGTGTAGACTCCTAGATCCTTGAGCTGCCTGTCACTGATTGGCTGCGTCCTTGGACAAGGCCCTGACCTTCTCTGAGCCCTAATGCTCTGTAAACCCTTCCTCTCCATCTGGGATCACGAGGTGGAATGTAAAATGAATGTTTTTTCAGCTTCGAGCTTTCCTATAGAAACAAGAGTTTGCACTGAGTTGCAAATGACTAGTATTCCTAAAAATAAATAATCAAGGCTATGACTCGAATAGCTAGAAACAGCCTAGAATAGCTTTCTGTTTCACTTGAGGAAGCTTTTTACCTAACTCTTTCAAATGCACCAGGACATTTTTGCAGTCTTTATTTTAATTAAAACCCATTTATTTTAAAACACATTAAAATATGGGTTGTATATTTTAGCAGTTATTTTATAAAGAATGAAATAGGAAAATTTTGGAAAAGCCTTGGTCATCCTTGATGTTTCTTTTGTGATCCTGTGTGATGTTTAGCACTGTTGTATTGAATGTGTTCTGATACCATCAATAACTAAAGTTCTTTCTATCCTCTTTTCCCCCTTTCTTCCTCTGCTCCTTCTTCTCTTTCTTATTTCTTTCCCTTCTGCTTCCTCTTCTTTAACTTGACCTCACTGTCCAGGGCCCATGTGGAAAAAGGTTGCTGTTTTCGGTTAGTCTGGGGGAAAATCCTATGATTCATTCCCTTTCCCACCCACCTTCTGGTGGGCCGTTTGTGGCCTTAAGTTAGCAGTGTGTGTGTGTGTTGTGCACCCTCCCCGCGGGCACACCCGCCTGCAAGCCTGGGGGGTGTGTGTGTGTGCGCGCGCGCAAGCGACTGCAAGCTCGGCTGCAAGCGCTGGCATACACCAGTCGGGCCGCCTGTTTGTCAACGTGTGTGTGTGTGTGTGTGTGTGTGTGTGTGTGTGTGTACGCACGCAGCGCGCACATAGAGCAGAACGTTTGCCTAAAATCCGTGTGTGTGTGTGTGTAGCGCACGCACACACGCCCGTGCTGCGGCCCGGGGGGTGTGTGTGCGCGTGCGTGCGGGCGTGCAGCGCGCGCCCTCGCCAGCCCGCCTGCCCGTGCGGCTTTCCCGCAGGAAAGCGGGGCTTGGGGCAGCCCGGCAGCGCCGCTTCACCCAGTGCGCGCCCAGCTGTTTCCATAGGAACCGCGACCGCGCCGGGCCCCTCCAGCGGAGGCCCCCCGTGCGAGCATGCCCAGTGCAAGCCGCTAGTTTGGCTCCAGTCTAGGTTTCCAGTAAGTGGCATGCGGGACTCCGGAGGGATCCCAATGAGCTGAGCCGAGAGCCTTTGTGTGCAGAGGGAGGAGGAGGAGGCTGCGGCGGCCGCCGGGCTGGAGACCCCGCCCGGGTAGCCCCCAGCAAGAACAATGCTAGCCTGCCTGACCCGAGGGAACTTACTGGACGTCCTGCAGGAGGGCTTCAATGAGGTAACTGTCCTGCTCCTCCCACTCCTCAGCTCCCCTCCCCCAGCGTCTCCCGCCCAGTCTCCGGAAGGGGTCCTCTTCCTCCCCCATCCTCTGGGGACCCCAGAGCAAATCGCCCGTAGAACCCCAAGAGGGCTAAGGTGGTACTTGCAGGGCAGATGGGTGAACCAGGAGAAATCAGAAGGGCCGCCTGCCCACAGCTAAGTTGGGCCATGACCTTCCCTGATAGCTTGCTTACCTGAGCCCAAGAGGACAGGACCACAAATTCAGAAATCACCTCCTTCCAGAAGAGGGGGTCTCCATCCTCCCTAGAGTTTCTCTCCCCAAGGAAATCTTCAGGGAATCCCTGGATATTTGGCAAAAGTGCTCATCTATATCAGGAGCTAACCAGCGGAGCCAAGGGAGGGTGGAGTGGTACTGCATTGGTAGAAAGTTTGAGAGGGCAGGGGACTGTAGATGGTCCATGTGAAGTGCCCTCTTCATGTCTGAATCTCTTTCTGAGTCCGGGGCAGTAGATTTCTCTGCAATCAAGGACGTGGTTGTCTGAGAGGAGCTACTGAGCGAGAGGGGACCTGGGTCCTGGGCCCAATCCCAGGGAGCCGGCGTGTGCACCCGTCCATGTGAGAGCAGAGGAACTGGGGCCTCAGTCTGACAGGCAAGATGGGCTAGGGCCGACAAGGGGTCATTTCCTCTCCACTTGTTTCTCTTACAATTCTATTTATTGCATTCGCTTTTCTTGTGACCCCGGAAATTCTGGTTTGGGATGCTTCCCCCTCAAGATTGCCCCATATGTCTTCCACTGCAGCTAAGCCCTACTCCTGCGGGTTGTCTTAGCCCAGCATCCAGGGAAACCTACGCTGTTAGTTGTGCCTTTCTTCATTTCTCTCTCCCTCCTTTTCCTTCCATCTCTCTCTTTCTTCTCTCTGTGACTCTCTAAAATTTAAGATTTTAAAAATCAGTTTTTACTCAACATATGAATACATTGTCCTCTTAAATATGAACATCATAGGCAACACTGAAGTGCCTTTGGTTCCCCCCACCCATTCCAGCCTTTTCCACACAAATAACCATTCTCATGAATTCATGTATAAGATTTTATTTCTGCGGCTGCACTACAGCCTCCTTCCTTAATTCCTGTTTCTAATTAAGAAGCTCTGCAGCCTGACCTGCCACAGAACACTCCCCCGTTCTGGTCCCCATCCCCTAGCATTGTTCCTAACACAGAGGAAAACTGCAGAAATGCTGTCCCAACCTAACCGAGTTGGAATTTTCCTTTGGCCAAGGGGTATCACAACCTTCACTGAGGGGCGGAGCTTGCATCCTGTCTGCACTGCAGGGCACCTCATCTTTGCATCATTCCTGTCTGAACACATGTAAGGGGATTGTTAACAAAGAGCTATAGTCTAAGAGTTGAAACACAGAAGAGCCAGGAAGCCTACCTCTGAGTGATTCCCATATTCTGGTTCCTCTTTTCTCACTCTCTGCCTTTGGGCTGCCCCTGGTCTTTAGCTGCGTAAGTCTGACTCATTCACCAATTGTGGCAGAAGCTCTTTTAGTTGTCTTATACCTCCTGCTCCAACTTAAAACAACAACAACAAAAAAAAAACTCAGCTCTTGATGGTCCCACTGTCTATTTAGGAGCAGGAAACCAGCACAGAGCTGGTCCTAATCTTTGTTTTCTGCTCATTTTCACTTCGAAACCTTTCGACTAAAGAGCCACGTAAACTAAGAGGCTTGGCCGTCTGTTTCATGCTTTGGTGCTTCCATAAATATCCACTGACCTCCAATTCTTGAAAAACATCAGGGCCTAAAGGAAAAGGGGAATGGGAGAATCATGTTTTTGTGGTGGTAATGGAATCTTCATAAAAACCACAGATGCATAACTTTTTAATTAATTGGTCCCTAGAATAATGCAGTAGTGCCTCTTTTCCTTCTCTGATGTTTGATTTTTCTACCCATCCTGTAAACTTCCCTCCACACCCTCCACAAGCTAATGTACATCTGTTCCTCTCTGTTAGATTTGAACTCTGATAGCCAATGAGTACTTTTGGTTTCTCTGAAAAATTGACATCATCTAAATAACAATAACAGTAATATGTTAAATTTGAATGGTTTCTTACAGTTTAAATGATTCTTTCACATTCTATATTAAATAATTCATTTTACGTACAATATTACATTTAGTGCTACTGAATAATAGCGTAATTGGTTATTTTAGAATCCATGGGGCCCTATTTGACCTATTCCAGCCTCTAAGGTTGCTTAATAGATCCAGTAATATTCAATTTATTTTTATTTTTTATTTTTTTTATTTTATTTTATTTTTTTGAGACGGAGTCTCGCTCTGTCGCCCAGACAGGAGTGCAGTGGCCAGATCTCAGCTCACTGCAACCTCCGCCTCCCGGGTTTATGCTATTCTCCTGCCTCAGCCTCCTGAGTAGCTGGGACTACAGGCGCCCGCCACCTCGCCCGGCTAGTTTTTTGTATTTTTTAGTAGAGACGAGGTTTCACCAGGTTAGCCAGGATGGTCTCGATCTCCTGACCTTGTGATCCGCCCGTCTCGGCCTCCCAAAGTGCTGGGATTACAGGCTTGAGCCACCGCGCCCAGCCTCAATTTATTTTTTTAGAGTCCTTGAGATAAGGATGTAAACAGGGATTTTAAAGCTAGTGTCAGAATACGCTTTAATTCTTCTGAGAATTCCTACTGAGGCTACGAATACCACACATGTATCCAGTCACCTCCTGGGAACGATCCAAGTATATCTAAAGCTATTCTTCATCACCCAGATGCTTTATAGGTCTGTGTAGTTAGGGCTGTGACCTCATTCTCTATGGCAGAGAAAACTGCCACAGGAAATGGAGCTTTGGCCTTAATTGGTTAATTATAAGGGAACCCTGCAGCAGAGAGAAACCCTGCCCTCTGAATCCTGGCTTCCCTCTACCCACTGTTGGCTTCTGTTCTCAATCCTTTGCCACTATGTATAGCCATGCATGACAGAATTTTCTCTTACTGCATTTCCTACACAGAGCCCTGGCCTCAACATGTCTGGCAGATAACTCACAGATGTGATCCTTGTCAGTGCTTTCAATGCAATGCCTTTGAATGGCATGGTTAATTTGGACGGCGAATTATCCACAAGTTTTGGCTACTGCCACCCTGGCTGTCATCCCCCATTTCCTATGGCTTGGCCAGGCTTCCTATAGATCACAGTTTCCCCAATCTGCATCTGCCTCAAAGCTATTTGTTTTCTCTGCCACTTGGTATTGGTGTTGTCCTGTGAATGTTGTAATCGTGCCAACATGAATTTCTGCAAGTGTTTTTTGGGGGACTGAACTTTCTTTAAAAACAACTTTGTGCTTGTGTTGGGAGGTTTTGAGAGACCTGAGATTATAATATGGTTTGGCTAATAAGCATTCATTTATTCAGTTATTCATTAGTTATTCATAAACCAGTAATTTATTGAGAGGGGATGGATAAAAGAATTGAACAACACTCAGCTCCTGCTTCCAAGGAGTTTATAGGGAGAGATTGGGTGTACTGATATGAAAAGGACTGAACATTTACCAACCCGTCTGCTCATTGAGGCCAGTTTTTTTCCCTGCTCGTCTGGTACATGCATGCAAGCAGTCATTCACGGGACAGTCTCTGAATTACTGTGTTTGCCAGTCACTGTGCCAGGCTCTGGAAATACATGGAAGTTCAATAACATAGAGTCTGTGCCCTATTGAAGCTCACAGACCCATGAAGATAAAGTAGCCAGGCACAGTGGTGCATGCCTGCAGTGTTAGCTACCTGAGAGGATGAGGCAAGAGGACCACTGGAGCTGAGGAGTTAGAGGCTGCAGTGTGCTGTGACCGCGCATGACTGATGACTGCACTCCGGCTTAGATGACAGAGCGAGACCCATTTCTTAAAAGAAGAGATAGGCCGGGTGCTGTGGCTCATGCCGGTAATCCCAACACTTTGGGAGGCCAAGGCGGGTGGATCACCTGAGGTCAGGAGTTCGAGACCAACCTGGCTAACATGGTGAAACCCTGTCTCTACTAAAAGTACAAAAATTAGCCGGGCATGGTGGCTCACGCCTGTAATCCCAACTACTTGGGAGGCTGAGGCAGGAGAATTGCTTGAACCTGGGAGGTGGTGATTGCAGTGAGCCGAGATCGTGCCACAGTAGATGTTCAGAGTGTCAAACTTGGGAAAATTGAGGTGATACAGAAATCTTACTTGTGGGGAAGAGTGAACGTAGGCCCAGGTGTGGTGTGAATGGCCTGGGAGGCTGAAAGTTGGGGGAATGGTTTATGAAAATGATGGCTGACAGGAAATCTGTTGTCTGAACCTTAACCTTTTGAACATAAGTTCTGGCAGATTTTCCCTACCGGTTTTCCTCCAAGTAGAAAAGTAGAAATTGAAATTTCACATTAAGATTCATCTGCTTGGCAGTCCCTTAGAAATATAGGAAGAGGCCAGGCACAGTGGCTCACACCTATAATCCCAGCACTTTGGGAGGCTGAGGCAGGAGGATGACTTAAGCCCAGGAGTTCAAGACCAGCCTGGGTAACATGGTGAGACCCTGTCTCCACAATTAAAAAAAAATTAGCTGGGCATGGTGGCATGCATGCCTGGGATCCCAGCTACTTGGGAGGCTGAAGTGGGTGGATCACTTAAGCCCAGGAGGTTGAGACTGCAATGAGCCACGTTCCTGCCACTGTTCTCCAGCCTGGGCAACAGGGTGAGACTCTGTCTCAAAACAAAACAAAATATACACACACACACACAAACACAAACACAGAGGAAGAGTTTTGGTCTGGTCTCATCTCCATAAGGGGGACATAGAGTGAGTGAGGAAGAAGATCGGTAAGTGAAACATCGCTCCTAGGGGCCTTGTGCCCTCCATGGAGTAGCGGTGGCAACACTGGGCCAATTAGAGGCTTCCAGACATTTTCACAATGAACTCCTCTGTGCTTTGCTGTAGAAATTAAAGGCTTGTTAAGTCTACAGAGCAA